TGTAGGTGTATCAATAATTGGGGAAGCCTGGAACAACCCCGCTATGGTATGTTCTCTTTTTGATTTGGTATCCCTATTGGATGGTTTGCTTTGCAGAGCTGAACTATCCTGAGGTTTAGAAGAAAAAAAGGGAACAAAAAATGTTTTCTGGATTAGCTCATCATAACTTGGTTTCTAACTCCACCAGAGTGATGGAATCCTGAAATTTTTATGAGCATAAAAGAGCAAATATGAAGTAAAACCAGATTTAAATTGTTATCTGGTGTGAGGGGAGGAGCTTTCTGTTTAGATGTTTGTTTTCCTTTTTCTTGGTCCTTGGTAAAGGAAAAATTGGTTTCACTTGAAAATTTAACAGGAAAGGTCAAGGGAAGAGTGACGGATATGAATTGATGAAGTGTGATCTTTTGTTACCTTCTACTTCAGTGGCTTCAAGAAAAAGTTATCGGACTGGAAAATTCCTCAAGAAAACAGCTAAATGCATTCCAAAGAAAATATAATGGAAAACCAAGAATACCAGAGTTTAATTGAGTTATCATTTGGTTCCAAAAAAGTGATTTTATTCCAATTTTGGATGGGTGGAATATAACTGGCACTTAGGTCATGTTTGGTTGGGGTTATGACTATTCCTTGGTCAAGCCATAAAAACAAGGCAATATTGAGAATTTTGATTGACAAGCTAGAAAAATGGAGGGAATAAGGGGGATCCATTTTCTTCTAAATTAGAGGATGTGCAAGGAATAGATGGCTATTCCTTGCTTATCTCCTAATCTAAAGAAAATGATCAACCTTATTCTCTTTCCATTCCCAACTTGTCAAATAAACTTTTTAGTTTTGCTTTATTTTAATGGTTGACCAAAGAAACTCATTTCTCCATGCCACGCATGCTCTTAAGGAAAACATTAATATGAACCTTGGGGCATTGAAGTCTTATAAAGTAAACCACAGAGAATCAACATGAAAATTGGTCATATCACAATGGGATCCACATGTGCTCTTGGATCTGTTATCTTAATACCATGTAGACTGATTTATCCTTCTTTTATTTATTATTCTTGGTGGTTTATCATTTATAGGCAAGATATTTCTATGCAGAATCTGGTGTGTTTTATTTTACTCATTTTTTGTATTTACTGTCTAGACTGATTTATCCTTCTTCTATATACTATTTCTTGGTGGTTATCATTCATATGCAAGATATTTCCATGTAGAATCTGGTGCTTGTTTTATTGTATTAAGAATATTTATGCTATCATTTTCTTTTTTTGGTAATTTTTTCCTCAATAGTTTTGAATTTAAAATTTGAAAATTGTAGATGATCTTTTTAATTTTTGACAATTGGGGAAGGGAGATTTGAATCCACCACTTAAATTTGAATCCACCACTTAAAGGTGGGGGGCCTGTACCATTACCATTGGGCTGCAATGGTAGGGACAAAATTTTGTTTCAATCCTTAAATATAAGGGATACATACCACTAAACTATCTCATAAGTTAAAATTTTTTCTCAATTTAATGGTGATTATATTTCCTTATACTGTTAATTTCAGAATCAATTTGAACCATTTGGAGATGAAAATGATCAGCAAGATATGCTAAAGGCTATATTTTAGATTCTGGAGGCAAAGGAACTATTCAAGTATCAAGATGGGTAGCTCATGCATTCTGCGAGTTCTGCTTATTGCATAACAAGCCTTTTTGGAAGCCTTTCTGGCTCGATACTTTGAGTTCTTTCCTTGTTTGGTTTTCTGTACAGACTATTCGGGCTGATAATTCTACGTTGGAGGGAAAGTATAAAAGTTTTGAAAGGAAAGAGAAACAAGGTGAAAGAATGTTGAGTGTATATTTGATAGCGATGAGACAGAGTTAAGGTGAGGTTTGTTGTTGAATATGTTTGCTAGAAATTGCTGTTGTTGTCAGCAGATCACTGTATGTACAAACATGTGTGTTGCATTACCTTATTGTGTTGTATTACGATTATTGTGTTTCTGTAATAGGAGATGCTTTTTTTTCTATGTATTGTGTCATTGTATCACCCAGTTGAATCTTTGTTCTCTATGATAAAACATATATCTTCCAGCAAAATGATGATTTTCTTAGACAATTGTGTAAGTTACTCTTTCTTGCTTGAAGCTGAAGTATCTTATTTTTTGCTATGAAATTGTCTTGTGACATAATGATGTGTTAGGCAAGTGATTTGTGCTGTTTGAAATCAGTGTTATCTATTGATCTGATATGAACCCAAAAGTTAGAAGTGGTTCATCCTTTATTGGAATTAAATGTTGTCAATTTACATATTTGTTGCTCATTTTCTTGAGTTTCATATGAGAAGACATGCTGAGGTAGCTTCTACAAGTCCATATATCTAGATTAATGCCTGGTCTACATTAGTGTATTAATTAGTGATTATGAAGATTAGAAATGCAGAAATCCCTTTTTTTTTTCTTAAATTACTTTAATACTTGATCTCAGTTCTTGGTGTTGGAAAATCCTGAAGTTAATCGATACCAACCCATCTAAGCTTTTCTCAAGTTTTTAGTTTTAGTTGACTCTATTCATATTGTGCTTGAATTTTTGTTGGAGAAATTTAATATGCAGGTTTCTTCCTGGGCCTGCAATCCAAAGGAGGAAGGGTTGCTGGAATTTAGCTTTTGTGAAAGCCTCATATTCCTTTACAATTTGGAATTGGAATTGGAGTATGGCAAGCTGATTGAGCTCTACAAGACTATATTCAAATATTTACAAAGAGATTTTTCAAATTATCTATAATCATGGTTCAAATACACTAATTCCATTGTTTTAAAGATTAAACTCCCTTTTCCCCTTTGTCCCATTCCCTGTGCATAAACTATCAAGACCAATACACAAATTGATTTGGTATCTAACTAAAATTCCTAGTCACCTTACATCATTTGTTGCAACTGGTCCCTAGATTATTTTTGGTATCTGACGTTCATAAAAAAAAAAGGAAAAAAAAAGGGAAGATTATTTTGGGTATCTAGTTAAAATTCTAAATAAATATTTGTCTAGCTTAAAACAATGGAAACCGGTAATTAATTTGGGGCAAATTTTTAGTTTGTAAATGACTAAGTATTATTTAGGGGAAGAGGAGTAATACTATTAAGTCATGCCAGGAGGAGGCAGCGGTCAACGTATAATCCGATCTTTGAGTGGATTGGTTTTAAGAATCTAAAAATTGTGAACATACCTACTTTCTTTTGTGAAACATGTTCTTCATAATGGAGTCTAAACGGTTCTTAAGCTACCTACTTTTAGGTCATATTTGGTTGGTAAAATGAGTACTATTTAATGAGATTATAAAAATAAGGTAAAATTTATCAATCTTATTTATAAGTACTAAATAAAATTTTACTTTTAAGAGTGATGAGTATAGTCCATTACAATTATATATACTCAAATAATGTTGAAAGAATTTAAACTTGTATACTCAATGTAATTTAAGTGACTTTTAAATCATTTGAACCAATCATGATATGTTTTTTAACAATAGTATTACATACAAGTCACATGCAGTCACTACTTTTCTTATAATAATTGCAAGTTAGGAGGGAAAACTTAAGTTAAACTTGAGGAGGTTGTTATTAGTTATTCTTGGTAAGTTAGCATCAACTTACATCAATATAAATGTTACACCGATTCTTAGTTACTTTTTTTAAATGTTTAATAATTAATGCAACACTTGAATTTTCAAAATAATCCCTTAAATTTAAAAGTATGTGTCTAAAGATTGATATTTTAAGGGAGTTGCTTAAATTCACAATAGTGTAAGTGGATCTCTATTCATTCCTAATGCATTGATCTTATAAGAAATAAATGGATGTACATGAGGAATAGTCATTAAACATGATATAATGTTCTTATAATTTACCCTACTTTTAAAGGATTCCTTGCATTAATTCTCCGTACAAATAAGCAGATGAATTCTAAGAAGCAAAACATGCAGAGAAATGTTTGGAATTAGATCCCACTCCAATGTGATTGGCGATGTTACCATGTATTTACCTAAACCGACTTCACCTAACATCAAACTCAAACTTGCTTGACTGACTTTGCAGTTCGCACTAGTATATTCCACTAATTGCACTATTAATTGGTTATTGTCTGTCCGTCATGTTTTCTGTGTTCGATTTCCGCTCGTGTGTCCACTTTGTTACGTCTGCACACTGCCTGCCATAACCCAGTTTTCCGCGTCACCCCATTATTATTATTATTGTCTGCCTATTTTATTTTATTTTATTTTTAATAATGGGGAAAGGTGGGATAGTGGAAGATGAAAGGAAAAAATAAAGAAAAAAAAAAGTTAAAGAGATCAGTTCTATTAATTTTAAGTGAACCGTTTGTAATGTTAATTGAGAGTTATGTTTTTTTAAAAAAAAAATAAATTTCTTTTAAGATCTTTGAACTAGTATTTATTTAATAAAATTAATAATTTTAAATTTATCAATCTACAATGTAACGGTTATATTTTTAAAATTATTTGATAAAAAATTAATATCAAAATATGTAGAAAATAAATCACTAAACCGTAAAAATATATATATAAATTAGCTGATTTAGCTTTATTTTGGAAAAAATTTCCCTGCCGCAGAAGTCAAGAAAAAAGTGTGCGCACATAATTTCTTTAAAACCTAACTTTTTCTTTTTTACCAACTCAAAAACCTAACTTTTAAAAGGTTATATTACCATGAAAAAAAAAAGGGGGGGAGGAGGAGGTCAGAAACTTGTGTATTTGAAAGAGTCTTTGCAAGCAGAACTTTTATGTTTAATGAAATTTATTAACTCCTGTTGGAGCTCACCTCCATATGATATAACTTGTGATACATCCCTTTCAAAAACATAAAAAATTTGCTCTAATTGGTTGGATCGGCTCCACTAGCGAAGAGTGAAGAGAACTTTGATAGCCGAGTTTCCTCTCTTACGTAGGTGTTGTTTTGCCATAGTGTAGGTTTGTCCCTTTTAATGAGAGGAAGGTCTATTCGTAAATAAAAATTAAAATAGTTAGGGTCGAAATTCGTTAGATATAACAATTTTTAAGGTCAAAATTCATACCTTACCTTCAAATGCTCAGAGGACATTGCATAAGTTAAATTTAGTTGAGGGATTTGTGGTGATGTTAGTGATCTAGTTGCTTCTTATTTAAGAGATTTTTAATTTGAAATCACAGTTTGTTATTATTTTTCATTTAATTTTTATTGTTTTATTTGTTTATTTATGTATTTATGGCTTCAAAACATTAATTATTCTCCCTCAGCTTGAAGAATACACTTCTTTTATTTCAAGTTATTGTCAATTTATGTTTTATATATATATATATCTTGATTATTTAATGAAAGATAATTTTTTTTCATTTTTTATCTTACTCCACTCATATATTATATGATTTGAATTTATAATTTTTTTTTCCAATAAAAGAAAATTAATACCAAACTATTTAAATTATTGATTGTCAATTTATGCGTATGGATTGATTTAGAGGATGAAAATAGTGGACTTCGGAAGGTAACAAAACCGATAGCCTACCCATAAATTTTATGTTATTTCTTCCCTTTTTTGATACATTGTACTTGACTATTACTCTGATTCAACCTATTAGTTTTGCTCTAATTAATAAAATTTATCTTTGTGTAAAAAAGTTAGACCGCATCTCCTTCTAGTACAATATGTACGACTAAAGAGACCGAAAGGAGTAGCAGTGTATTTTGCCGAAGTTATGGGAAAGTCAAATGTATTATTGGAAATTTTGGGAATCATTATACCATGCTCCCTTTCTCTCAAGTCCAACTTGTACTTGACACGTATAAATGTGGTTTGGTAATATACTTTGGCAAAACCCCCTTCTTAAACCCCCAAACTTACTCTAAATTAACTTATGAATCTCTAAACTAAAACAGTACAAATAGGTCTTCTAACCCCTCGAATAATGCAAATTAACCCCCATCCGACCCAACACATGTGATCTCATTCATCTATTCTTTTCCTTCACTTGACCTCACTTTTCATGTGAATGTTGATGTAAATCAATGAACCCCTTAAATGATGAAAATACCTAGAATGGCCCACATGACCCATTTTCTTCATTTAGTATTCTCATGGTTGGTGGGATTTCTACCATTTAAGAGATTTTTTTGGTCCATGTGAAAAGTAAAACAAAGCGAAGGGGAAGAAGAAGTGACCTGAGGTCACTTATGTTGAGCCGTTAATAATGAAGGTTGATTTGCATCTTCGAAGGGGTTTAAAGGTTAATTTATATCATGTGAAAGATAGATTTAAGAGTTAATTTACATTATTCAAGAGATTTAAAAGCTTATTTTTATTATTTTTAATTTAAGAGTTTAACTATTAATTTGAGATAATTCTAAGAACTTTAAAAAATAAAAAGATTTTGTCATATACTTTTCATTTGGTTATGAAAGAATAAGAATTCACAATATAAATTTAAGAAATTATTACATTAATTTTTAGTTATATATTTTAAAATTTATAGAATTATTTTAAAAATTCAAATATTAGGAAATAATTACTAAAGTTATAAAATAAGTGACTAAAAATTGATACAATAGTGACACGTCAGGATGTTTATCAAACTGTTAATCATATGAATTTTAAATTGAGACTTACATGATGAATGACTTGATGACGTTTTGGTATATTAAGACGTCCTAATTTTCCGAAGACCCTATACTAATATAACTTGATCTTTGACTCCCAAAATAATACATTTCAATTGTTTCCTTCCTACTCACATTCACTATTTATACTAATATATAAAAACCGACGACCTTAATTTCTCATTGACAATCAATTGTGCACTACCTGGTATCAATAATAACACTTTGTTGGACTTAGGTAAGAAACTTTTCATTGAAAATGAACTTCACCGTGTGATGGGATGCTGCATTGTACTCCATATTCCATTTATTTTATTTACAATGCCACAAGCATAACTCCATAAAGCAGCATGTCAACATTTTTAAAGGAAAAGCAAGCAATTTAATTGTGGGGAAATCAAAGACCGTATCTTCATCGTATCCTCCAACTCAAGTGAATTCTTTTTTTTTTTATTGATAAAATGAAAATATATTACCAATAAAAGTGGGAAGTACAAAGAGTACTCCCATAGAAAAGGTAAATCAAGTGACGTATCTAGTGCCATATATCTTTATATTATTTATGTTCTTAATATATAGTTAAAAATCATGCGCGTGCCCTTAGTATTTTTTTAATTTAAAGTTTTTAATTTTTTTAAAAAATATTACAAAATAGGTATTACTTAACTTAAATTATTAAATGAGAAGTAAGTTTTTGAAATTGAGAGTTGTTTTCTTATTAAGTACTTTATATTTTAAAATTTAATATAATTTAAATTGTAAAACAAAAGATTTCGTAAAATGTTTTATGTTGAAATTTTAAGATATTAAAGACCTTTTTTCTTTATCTGTCTAGTGATGTGCTATAATAGAGAGAATGTTAGTTTTTTTTTTTTTTCAAACTCGCTTTTACTTAATTTAAAATTGGAAATTAAGATATTCACAAAAAAAAAAAAAAATTGAAATTAAGATTCCCAAATTCTGAGTCTCAAGCTTTCTTAATCTATTAAATCACCTTTAGAAGCATATGAAAGGCCTCTAACTGAACAAAATAGGAGTGTTTGAATTAGAGAAATCATTCATCCCTCTAAGATTGTGTTCTATGCATTAAAATATCAAGTGTGTATCTCTTCATGGTTTTCCGAGTTCCTTCACTTTCACTACTAAGCTCATGTAGACTATACTGAAATAGTTGTTTCAAATAAGGGTATCTAGCATCTGAGGGTATGTGATGTCACACTAACCCCACACCAAACATATATAAAGGGGTATATAATTGCTACGAATACTTCAAATTTTATAGCAAAATTTCCTAAATGCATATCATTGCAGGTAATTAAAGAATACATCAAATTCCTTGGGCATTATAAGAAAAAAAAAATGGAAAAATGGTAACTCAGAAAGCATATGCTTGATGAGGTGTAAACCAGTCCCATAATTATGAACACAACCTATTGTATTTGATAAGCTTATTGGTTGGTCAAACACCAGAGTTCAAGTTTTTTTTTTTAATCAATTTCCTGTGCTTTTAAAGCTTTAATGAAACAAATGAACCTACAATATGATACATGACTAAATATAAGATGGTATTTTAGATTTCAAAAGAAGTCTTTAAATTTAAATTTTGAGAGGAGTTAAGAGAAATTTTTTTAAAAATATAAATTATCGTTTATTTTATAATCAATCATTAAATATATAATAAAAAAGTACTGACAAAATCAGAATCTTAGACACGTAACTCTACCTAACAAGTAAAAGCTGAATCCTTCTCATACTACTTCTAAGTTCCACCACTACAACATTTTTTCTTCTCAAAACTAATTGATTTGTTTCCTTTTCCTCCCTCCTTTTTGTGGCAGGTTTGAATTGGGAACTACAAAAGCCATGTTCTTCATTCTTTTCTACTTTAGCAAAGGTCATACACATTTTCATTCATAGTCCATCAAAGAATTTTTAATTCTGAAAGGGGAAAGCTTTTCTCCACTTACAAAATGGTGGCACCATCCATCTTCAAAGTCCAAGGAAAACCAGGAAAATGACTGCTCCCTTAGTGCCATCATTTCTGGGAATGGCACTGCCAATCCCTTTTGAGAGAGAAAATGAGATTCATGTGACCTGGCTAATCTTAATGCCAAATCGGGCACAAAAACCCAAAATTACCCTTCATAAACATTAGGAATACACAAAATCATTAAAAATATTTTTGTCTTTTTACACCTGAACTAACATTAAAATTAATTGTCTTTTCATGCCCTAAATAACATTAAAATTAATCAGTATGGACGGGAAACAGTTTTGTTCATTTAAAAAGAAACAACAAAATTCAATGACTTGTCACCTTCATTGTTGGAAAGGTTTGAGTGCTTAATGATACTACTCATGGTCGGTTTGAAGTAAAGATGGTCTGCATTTTATATGCATAAATCTGTTGAAAATATAGCAATAATCTACCCACTATCATCATTGATCAAACAAAAAACTAAGTGCATAAAAAGCAGTCCTCAAATGCACACACCGACCCTATCCCTTTCCTCATTCTCATTCCAGCATATTTGTGATGCAACAGAGAAAGTTTATGGCTTAGATTCATCTCATGTCAAAACTTCCACTATTTATATCATCTTCAAGCTTTAACCTCAAAGAAATTTACTGAGTCTAGGAGTTTATCATCTTTACCTCTTCTCTTGTCTTCAACTGTATAGACACACTCAGAGTTCAAATGGCAACTGTTGCAAGAATGCCTTCCATTCCCCGCAGATGGAGCAGCATCTTCTCCCATTGGCAACAGCAACTTCCATTAAACATCACAGTCAACACTTTGAGATGTAACTTTGCAGAAGAAAGACATACCCCCTATGCATACCATGCCATCCTAGTCTTCATCATCCCGACCCTCATTAATTTGATCGAGGTAAAACACCAAGCAAATAAGCACTCACCATTTGATACCTATCCTCTCTCCACCATGGTTGCTGTGACAAGTTTGCTTGTATACTGCTTCGCATATGGAGCCGAAATAGCATTTGCTTCTTCTAGTTATGCTAAAGTTTTTCAGGTATCCATGACAGTCTTTGGTTCCATTTCTGTTGCCTCATTGGCATCAATTTTGCTCCCTGGATCCATGCAATCAATTGTATACATATTATATATCTTGCTTTCCATAGGTGAATTACATGATATAATTCGACAACTATATCAACGTATTCACCAAAAGATCATCACTATGTTCCTTAATGCATTTCATATTCAACAGTGGCATGTCAGGAGGACCCCTCCAATTTTGCCACTAACATTCATGGATGCAAGTTGTATGCTCGAAATTTCAGCTTTACAACTCACAAACAGCTAAACAGGAAGGACCATGCCCCAAATTTTCAACAATCAATCGTACACAAAGAACAAAACAATCCAAAACCATTCAGGTTCCTTCCTTAACCCTGTTTTAGCAGGGAGAGCGGTGGTAGTAACCTTGACCTATTGGGTTTTCCTACCAAAGGGGTCTCTAATGGAGGTATGATTCTAGTTCTAGTGTGAATTTGAGTACCAAAAAGAGTAGCTTATGGTGATGCTCTACTTGCTGTGTGTGCCAGTGCTACGTAGCCATTCAATAATTTCTAAACAAGCACAATTCAGCAATAGCGGTAGGAATATGTTGTTTTATGTGATTGTAATTTAGTATGTCCTAGTTATAGTTTAATTTCCATGCTTTATTTTGTGCTTCTTTTGGTCATCTTATACCGAGTTTACTCGCATGCTCTTCTGTGTTGCTGTTTTACTGGAAGCATGCTTATATATACTATCATAAACTTCTTTCCAGAAAATTTGTATTCATGCTTGAGAGGATTTAAAATGACCATCATTGACATCATCTCCATATTAAAGATGATGAGTGCAGAAATTGATTTAACGACTAACATAAAAAACACCATCCACACTCTACGGCTTAGAAACCAAGTTAATGAGTAATTCAGTACAATTCTACCACCAGTCTGATTACCGTTTGCAGAAGTATAAACTATAAAGTTCCACTAAAAATGCAAATGAAAAGCAGCAAACATCCTCTGCTTTATGGACCTCCCTCTGCATCAATAGGAAATCAGTAATAGAACAAGAATCACTTTTGCAATTATCGAATTTTCTAGACCAGATTAACAGAGAATTCATCAGCAGTTCTGCATCCAGCAAGAAATTGATAATGATAACAGAAGAGTAACTACTAATAAACAAGTGATTTCGCCGCACTACGTGCGGTTATTCAGTCCTCTTAAACTGGTATTGGCCATTTGTTATTATCATTTTTGTAATGTTCGATTTTTATTTCAGAACACATATTGCCCAATAAATAACACGCCACAAACTGCCAATTTAAGCCCACCATTCGGTACTAAAAGTTACTTTAACACAGTTACATAAAACATAACCCATTTTCTGGAGACTTGCTCTTTTTTATACTAATTCCCTTTGAAATCAAGTCGAATCCTAATTAATTTAAAATGAAATCAGATTGAATCTCATAAAAAGAGAAACTTTCTCAATGTCTACCTTTATATTTACAAAATTTAAACTTGAGATTTTACAGAAAGTGAATTCTTGCTGCTTAAATCAATAGATCATTGATCTAGAGCCCTGCTTTTCTAAATTTTGGTTTTTTTTTCTTATTTGCATGCATGAAAAACTTGAATGCCAAGCAAAATTATCATGGTAAAAAGGCAATCGTTTCATAGCCTTCAGTTCATCCCTCCAAGAACCTGAGAAGAATATCAGTTGATGGCATCAATGACTAACAGGAGCATATCACAGTTAAAACCTCATACTCTCGTTGTAAACCCTAATCGTTTCCTCAACTTGAAGAAATTTCATAAATTCACACATTATCTCCGGCCACATTTTTTGTTTTTACCTCCTTCAGGTTTATTCCCTCCTCCTACTGCCGTCTTTGTTGCCTTTCCCTTGCAGCACCCTCCTCCAGGTTTCTTCTTGATTCTCATTCATGAGAATATTTTCTAATGGTTTGTAAATCCTAAACATATCTCCATAAAGCATTTTTGTAGGTGGTTACCTCAATTGAAGAGGAATGCAATCGTGGAAGAGATAATGGGTTTTTCCTTTTTGTAGTTGAAACATCATCACATGCAGTTGATTGAAGATCGTGATTCTTTCTTCTGATGTGAATCCGTTTTCTCCGAGGTTACTTTCTCTCTACGTGGTGCAAGATGTAGTATTGCAGCAGGGTTCTCAACCCAAGCCCTCCTCTTTATTACTTGAGAAAAATAGGAAATATGAATTGGGTTAGTTTACATTAGTGATAATATGGTAAGGAACGTTTTTTGACAAAAGAATAAGAAAACAGAATGAAAATATCAAGGGCTGCAAGGACTGATGGATCATTATCAGAAGAGCCTTTAATAGGTTATGTGTGTGTGTGTGTGTATATATATATATATCTACACACATTAAAAAGCAGCAGATTAAAATTCTAAGACACTGATAATTATATGTAGACAAATATTCTTGGTTATTCTAACTAATATTTTCTTATTAACTGAATTGGTAAGGTTTAACAGCACAGTCTGTCATCCCTTTTTTAACATATTATTTATTTAAATCTAAGACTACTGCATGAATAAGAGACTTCAGATATACTCCATAAAGATATAATTAAAAAAGGCTACCTTAACCAAATACCTAGCTTCCTCATCAACATCTCTGCAAGAGAAAGTTACTAATGCATCACCACAATAACCCTGAACAAAAAAATACTAAATAAATGAACAACATGCGAGAAGACATGAAGCCAAAGAACTCAGTCTAAAATTTTTAGGAAAAAATGAATTCAAAAGCAGCAAGCATGTTGCTCACATCTAAACAATAGTCTTTTATGCTCACACCATCACCCCAAATAAAATTAACATGGAGTGGGAGAAACATAGGGTGAGGACATAAAGAAATTATAGGAGAATTCAGTGATTTTATTAGAATGATAATATACTTATAATTCAACAATACTGATATGAGAAAATGGCCTGTACCAGCCAAACAAACTATGCCAATGGTAAGCCATTAGTTTACTTCGTTTCTTCTAGGAGGGAGAAAATAAGGTGAGGGTTGAGTAGTTAATGAAATATGCCTACATTTCACTAAAAATAGGTCCAGGTGAAATTGAGGCAAGCTCCTTATCTTGACCATTTTTCTTCTATAAATGTTGCTCAGACTGCCATGTACTACATACACACACAACATGCATATCATGCATAGGGGAGAGATATTTGCCTCAATATCAATGAAACAAAATGAGTAGAAACTTACAATAATATAAGGTGGAACAAAATGAGAAGAAACCTACAATAATATGAGGACAGATTGATCTGGCAGGTAGAGAAGAAAATTCAAACAAATCAAAACGATTGCCTCGTGCTCATCATGGATTGAAGCAAATTCAAGACCTATGGATTGAAGAATAAAAGTCCTCTTCTCTATCACCAAAGAGGGATTTGTGGATTTTATTTTTTTCCTTAAGTATTCTCTTTTGATTTGCTGATCATCATCCCTCTGCAAAACACCTTACGAGAGAAAGGAGAAGGGAAGTAGGGAAATCATCAACCACCAATTTAATAATCAGTTCTGAATTTGAAACCTTGAGAAATTCCTGAATGAGAAAATCTGATTACCAGCATCAAGCTAAGAATTAGCAATGAAGTCTTAAGAACTTCACCTAGAGATTATTTATCAAACAAATGGTAAGCATTCTGCACATTTGTGCTAATGACCACAATTTAACATGGAGAACAAAGTTTTCCATAGCAAGCTCAGGTGAATTACAGAAAATGGAGAATCTATTGTTTGAAAAAATTTGAAATACACCTTTTGAATGCATTCTATATGAAATTTCATCAAAATAATTATTAAAAGAGAGAGAGAGAGAGAGAGAGAGAGAGAGAAAACCATATGAAAACCTTATTTCACAGCGTAGCAAGCAAAAGTAATTGAAAGAGAAATCAAGAAACCTGACCTGTCTATAGAAGTACAGATTATTGTTGTTGAGGATACCTTTTAAGTGTCAGAAGAAAACAACAAAATTGATCAAACTTCTGCCAGTGATTTCATGTTTTTCCTTCATAGCCTTATCTGCAGCAACTTAACATTTTGGAGCTGCTGTGCGTATACTTCACAGCCTTGTCTGTGGTGGCTTAACATTTTGGAGTTGTTGTGTAGTGTGTATGCATGATCAGCAGAAGGAACTGGAAGCCACCGTAAGGGCATGTTTGTGTGTGTAGAATTTGGAGTATGGTGTGTGTGCTGCCTTTGGGGTATAATTTTAGACTTTGCTATCTATGGCTTCCCCTTTTCCTTGCAGTTGAGCTAATTTTAGACTGCAAGCCCTCATGACCAGTTTCCCCACCTTCACTCCTCAGCATACTTCCTTGCATATCTAGGAAATCTCTC